GGTAGGCACTCTGGTCCACTTATGCACACCCCCTTATAGACCTCTTAGGAATGGAGTGAGGTCCATGGTAGACAGTTTAAGGTTAAAGTTTTGGGGGCTTGAGGATGTAACAAAAGAGTCAGGTAGTGAGTTCTAGGCATTGACCACTCTGTTGCTGAAGGTGGATGTTCTGCCATGCTTTTTCCTGGTTCTGAGGAAGATCTCTACCTTTTTGTACTATTGAAGTAGTGTGCTCCTATTCTTTCCTGAACTAATATTTCTATTTGTGACAAGCCCGGCTAAACTCTGCTTCTATTTGTTGAGTTTTTCCTGTCTTCTGTCCATTCAAGTGGCTTTTTTATTAGCTTACGAATAACATCAGGAAATGGCAGGAAGAACTGGCTGCTAATGAGATCCAGGGCATTTGCAGGCCATCACCATTTCTATTCTTCAGTCATCAGTATGAAGTCAACATGCAATCATCCTCATGACCATGGTGAATGAAACTCTGAGGTTAAAAGGTAACTGAAAAAGAAAGGAAAGTTCCTGTAAAACAGAAATCAGAGCCAAGTTGAAGTAAAACATCCTGTGAAGGAAGAAATTAATTCCTGCAAAGCTCTTCAAAGTTGCAGCATTTCAAGAAAAATATCAATTTAAAGCTGCAGTGAGATTATTATATGCACAAAGGGTGGAAAGATCTGACATTACTCACAGTGGAGGAATGGATGGTGAAGATGATGAAACTTCAAAGGTGGTCAAATTTACATCTTTGATTAGAGAAAAAATATTAAGTAAGTTTGTGGTTGACTGGAAGCTCTTCATAGACTGCATAAAACAGAAAAATATGAATTTATGACTTATGATTGTCATAATTTAAAAAATATAGATAAAATGGAAATCATGATGTAATCATAGAATAAGAGGTAAAGTTATATTTGTAATTGCTGTAAAGAACATTGCAAACTACTTCTTTATATTGTTTTTATGTACTTTTGGCTTTATTCCCCCTTTTTTCCCTTTAGTTTCTTTTCCTCTTTGTTTGTTCTATATAGTAGTTGCTATTAGTTTTTCTTTCTTTAGAAACATTAATAAAGATATATGTTATATACATAAAAGAAAAACACCAGCTTGGCTGTGGTTTCATCAAGACAACAGTGGAGCTAGCAATAAATCAGCTTTTGAATTGTGCTGGCGTCATGAGAATGGGCAGATCTGGAACAGATTCCAAGCTTCCACCAAAATTGGCCGACTTGGAAATTCAGATGTAGAATCACAGGGGTTTTGTTTTGACCACTTCCTCAGCTGAGGTTTGATTCTTGTTGGTAATTTCAATGTCCCTTTGTTATTTTGGGAGGAAATTATTTCTAGGATACAGAATGTATATTCTGGCTAACATTGCTCGCTGCAGAAATCTGAATGACCAGTAGATGTCAGCCAAGAGATTTTAAAAAAATATTCTACAGTTTGTAGAAAACTATAGGTAGCCCTACAAAAAATGCAGATTATCTCAATAATTCATGTTAAATGAAATGGAGCTTAAAAAAATGGCAAGCCTTTCATGTCAGAAAGACCAAATTTCTGTTTGAATAGTGTGGTATGGCCTTCTCATAATGAGAAAAAAAACGTTGAAGAAAAATTTGATTTCAGTGAGTACATTTTTTATGATGTGTATTTTGTAGAGAATTTTAAAAAGTAAAATATTCAATCGGATGAGCCTACTTACAAAATATGAAGGGCTGTAGTCCAAACTCCAGTTTGCCAGCTCATCATAGTGAGAAATAGTCCAAGCCTTTTCTTTAATTTTATCCTTAAAGTACCCATGACTCAGCAATAGTTTGGTTGTCTTCAAAGTACAGCATAAAAATTTAAAAGGTATATTTAGATACCAGTTCTACTGCCCTGTTTTAACCCAATGTGCCATTTAATCTAATCTTAAATGCCAAGCTTGATGCATTGAAGACGGGGAGTATTTTGGAGCATAAAAGTTTGTGGTTGGTGCTAGACTTTAGTTTACCATGCAATCTTTCTTTTATGACTGTTGTCTGAAATCCCAGGCTCTTTAATTATAGAACTTGGAGGGTGGGAATAGGCAAAGACATCCAGCCCAAAATCTGATAGCAAAAACTTCTTGTTGCTTCTTGTTGCCCAGAAGCAACGGTGACATTCTGTCTGGAAAAAATGAGAAAGAAAAGCCTTTTTTTATTGTTTAAGCAAAATCTATGCTGCTCTCCTGCAGCGCCATTTTGGCTCTTGAAATGGCAGCTAAAAAGTTTTATTTAACAAATACTGTCTGCATTTGGACTAAAGCAAGGGTCTCTAAACTTGGCAACTTTAAAACTTGCTGGCTGAGGAATTCTGGGAGTTGAAGTTCACAAGTCTTAAGGTTGCCAAATTTGGAGAACCCTGGATTATAGGATTAATAAGGAAACAAAGTTCCTTATTATTAACCCTTTTCCTGCTTGTCTCCAGGAGTCCATTTACCTTCCTCCTCCTCAGTTGCATTCTTCTTCCTGGCTCCTGCTGAATTTTAGACACTCTTTAACCCTGGTAAATTATTACAAAATCCAAATTTAGGCTATCCTGGATTACTTTAAACATGTTTTTTTTTATTAATTGACATGCAATGTCATACAGAGACATAAAGCAACCACAGTTGTTGCAGAACATATTAGAAAAATAATGGGTAGTTTATGATTCAGTGTGTCACATAAATTCATATACAGTCAATATTTTGAGGATTATTTAGTACAGAGTTGTGACAGAGGTCTTAGATATTTTGTAGAAGCCATGACAATAACATCTATACCATGACATCATGCAAATGATGAAATGCAAATTACCTAATATGCATCATTGCATGGTGATATCATCTCATGTATAGCATTTCTTACCCCTGCCTCTCCCATAGATGCTCATGATATGAGCCATCTCTTATGCCACAGTGTCATGCTATGGATACAATTGAGTATTGCTATTTTGATATTGAAAAAGCATTTTCAATATGTCTGAAAGGATACCATAGTGTATATAAGACATTTTAAAACATTTCTTCACCTTTCCCCTATGTTTATTATTTTTGTTAAAGAATAAACAAGTTAGTCCTAGCTCACAGTAATGAAGTATTATCCAAGTAGAATATTCAATCGGATGAGCCTACTGAAGGGCTGTAGCCCAAACTCCAGTTTGCCAGCTCATCATAGTGAGAAATAGTCCAAGCCTTTTCTTTAATTTTATCCTTAAAGTACCCATGACTCAGCAATAGTTTGGTTGTCTTCAAAGTACTATTGAATAAAATCAATATTTTATTTGTTTATGCATCTAGATCAGTGAAACTCCTTACAAAAAAGTGTATTTTTTTTTTTTTTGAAAAAGCAAAAGATACCTGTAATTTGAAGAGAAACTAGTGTTTGGACCTTTGATTTTAAAAGTATGAATTTTAGCATTGAATAAAATAGTTGCACAATGGTGACCTGGGATAGTTTTTATTCAAGATTGATAAACACTTCTTACTTATATTTATTTTATTTCCTAAAGAATATTTTTATAAATTTGTTCAGTGTTGAAATATTAAGCATCATTAACATTTGCATAATGGAAAATGGTTAAAAATGCCTATTTTTTCCTTTACTGATTATACAAAGGCTTTTGATTGCAGAATACAACTAATTGTGGAGAACACTTCACTTCAGCTACATATAGAAGAATTTATATGATGATCAGGAAGTAACAGTTCAAGCAGAATATGGAACAAGTAAAATTGGGGAAAGCCTGTGCCACGTTGTATACTGTCACCTTATTTATTTAACTTCTAGGCAGAATGTGTCACCAGAGATACTGACTAAAAGAGGTATAAATTATAATTAAACTGATAGGAGAAATATCAATAGCTTCAGATATTTTTCTTAATCTCTGACTTTCTTGTTCTGCACTATTCCTGAATATCCTGGTTCAGTTGTTTTGGAAAGGATT